GCATCGCTTCTAGTAACAAGGGCCTTACTATTAGGAGCAAGAAGCTATTGGGCCCAAGGAGTCGAAGGGGAGCGTCCAGTTTTCGAACTCGGGTTCGGTTAGAAAAACTGCGGTCTGGGAATGGGCAAACGCAGATTCTGAGTCGCACTAAACTAAAGTCGTTCATGTTCGGAGCTCCTTGGAGAAAGAAAACTCCCACATCTCAGGAGGCGCAAGCAAGAGCTGCAGAGAAGGAGGAGAAAGGACATCTGAGTCTGAAGGTCCAAAAGCATTCACTGCATCCACTGCTCCATGGTCTGTGATGGTTGGTGTGTAGAGAACTGAAAGTCGCCGAACGTGTGGATATTTTCCCAGGACCTAGCCGTAGCAATCCTCCTGAAGACACGGATGCGGCCATCATCAGCCAGGACCAAAGCGAGAGTTCTGAAATCAGATGAGAACTTGAAGAGCTCTCAGTTGCGTTGACCCTTCAATGAACGTGTTGCGTTGACCCTGTTCATGCCAGTGGCCTCAATTCCAGCTGCTGATTCATGGTGCCTCGGCCCTGGTGGGTTGGTGAATTTCAGGAGCAAGATCCTTTGGACTTCGAGCAAGATAGGCCGCAGGCAGCCACCGGGCCGGTGCAAAATCAGGTGGCACAGATGCTAGGGTCAGTGGCAAGTGGCAGTCAGCAGGTTAAAGCAGGCTATTATGCAGGTTAGTTTAAGAAGTTCCACAAGCAACGTTGCAGAAAGGAGCTGTAAAGCTGGTCTTGGATGTCTGTACCACTAGAAAGCAGAATGCTTCTCCATTTGTCTTCGTGTTCTAACTTTTGAGAATCCTTTAGGCTTTCCCTTTCCTTTCCTTTCTTTATTGTAAGGGCTTCGCCCGGGTGCCGCCGACCCCTTTTCAAGAGGAGTGTAGCATGTGTAACTGAAGGCGTTAGTGTCGTTCCGGTGGTTGCCCGTCTGCGGAAAGAAGATGGGTGTTCTAGCCTTAGGCGTGGCCTCGGACAGGCTAACTGTGGCCTGTGCTAAAGCCCACAAAGGTGGAGATGCCAATGCCAATAAGGTTGCACTCTGCGAGGCGCCGAGAAACGTTTGAGGGGGGCCGTCGCTTCGGAAGC